CCTGATGGCTTAGGTACTTTGTAGGCACAAGGAAGTTTGAGACTGGATATGTTGGATGTTGGCTGATGAAAGAGAGGAGTAAAAAGTGACTTACTTAAGTTGCTCCCTGTAATTAGCTCAAAATAAGGCTATGATCATGACCTATGAACTGTCATTCATCCAGAATTAAATTTACTGATTAGATTTTATACCCACTCATTTCATGTTTATTTCAAATAACTCATTTTCCTTTCAATCTCTCCATTATTCCTTCTAACCAAACCAATATTTAGCACATAGGAGCCTCTGCACAATTTTATGTTTTGTTAAATTTGCCCTATTTGCTGAACTGCTTAGGTCAGAGAGTCCCTTCCATGTTCTCTAATAGAGCACTCACAGTAAAGGTAGTTGTATCTGTAGGCTTCTTCATAGCACATCTGCTCAGAAGGTAACCGTTAGGATGCCTGTTCCATAATTGTGATCCAGAGAAGAAAGGATACAGTAAGAATGATGCATGGACCACGGACCCCACAATTTCTCTTAATTTATTCTATGCCTTTAGGCCGACCTAAGGCTTCATAGTTTTCTGTGATGTTCTGGTTCTGGCTCTGGCTCTGAGATTAACTAATGTGTTGAAATAGTGAGCAAGTATCTCTTTAGTTAAGAGTCAGTGCCACCAAAGAATCTCAACCCCAAATGATGCATCTAGCTCAGCATATGCCTTTATTTTACTTTGAGTCTTTGGTATCCCATTGCTAAATTTAAATTACAATAATACCATTAATAATTTGTAACCCTAAATTTTGGTGGCTGTAGGTTTTTGCTTTTTTTGTTTCTTGTAACTGTTTTAAATTGCCAATTTAGAAGAAAAATCTAAAGTATTGGACAAAGAAATAAGTAACTAGAGCTTTGCCTTTGGATATTCTAAGCTTTTCGTATGTGCTTGTTCTAGAAAACCTCCAATAGCCTGACGAAAAGGAACTAAAAAACCAATACTCTTAAATCACTCCTGATGGATGAAGTAAGATGTGTATTTTACTAAGAAATTAAGCTTTTAAGCAGTTCCTAGTGGGCATTTGTATTACTCACTATGCACCCCCCGATGTATACATACCACACCACCACAGAGCATGCCACCTAGTTAATTAGACTCTAATATACTTAGCTCTCCCTGTAAATGTCAGAAGTTTTTCTGAGGTTTAAAACAAGTTATATAAAATCTGAGCATTCATTATTCACCCCTAAGAAAATTTGTGTGAGGTTAGACTCAGTGGTTATGTAGCTTGTCCACTGGACCAAGTTACTTCTGTTTTTCCTTCTCCATGTGCTCAAGCCCTTCTCCTTATTTGAAATGTAACCTTGCTTTACCTCTCTGCATATGGCTTTACCTGAGTTGCTTTTCTTTCAAGCTTATCTCAGGTACCACCACTTCCATGAAACATTTTCTGATTGCTTTTCTTTCTCTCAAAGTATATGAGACCACCCCCATTAAAAACAAAACTTCTGTATTCTGCATATGGTACCCATTCTCTTACAAAATTGTTGGGTGTGCCCGTTTATTCTTTGACTGATGGCTGTGGAAGAAAGGTTGAGGATGCAGGGTGCTTTATCTTACTCATCTTTGCATGTCTTTTGAATAAACGCTTCATCTATATTGTAGGTACAGTGAATAGTTCTTTAAACATTTATTTATTTTGGCATTTGTTTTATGTGTAAGTAGATACAAACTTTATCAAATGCTGTTAATTTCTGATTATTTCTTGGCACCTAGCAGTTGTTTATTGTGTCATCTTTGTGTTTATCATTGTGTTAGGTTGATTAAAAAAAATACAAAAATACAGGATATCTAAAATTTAGTGAGACTATTTCGCCCTGTGGTTCAGAGATCTTAGAGCCAGGTTATTAGTGTTTAAATTAAATTGATACTGCCCTTGACTTTAAGTAGAGGGCATAATTAATGCAAATATATGAATTTATAAATGAGTAACTTATTGCACAACTTGAGCCATTCCATGGTGGTGAAGAAGATTGCCTGGTTGAATTGGGGAAGACATTTGAATCTGGGAAAGCAGCCCTGAATTAAGGGTAGGGGACACTTCTGTTTTCATTTGTTGTTAACAGCCAGGTTAAGGTTCAGCTGCTTGTTGGTCACATAATTATAATTTTTTTAAGTATACAGAAGCAAGGGATATGTAAATATTTTGTGTCATTTTATTGCAAACTTATGTAAAACAACTACGAAGTAGATAATGATATCCTTATAAGATGAAGAAACTCAGGCTCAGAGAAGTTAAGAGGGGGAGCTGGGATTTAAGCCCCAAATTGTTTTGGTTTTCAAGCCCATTCTCTTAAGCACTGTATTGTTTTAGCTTTTTTTGAGAAAGCTGGAGAAGATAGAAAGAGCTAGTCTGTGAAGGGGCTTTCTCCATAGGGAATAAACTCTACCACTATAAGTGATTTTTAAAATTTTAGTTATCTTTAAATCACAATTAACATAGGACGTCGCTACTAAAGGTAGTAAAAGGTCCTTAAAGGATACTGCAAAATAATGTAATTGATATTACTTTGTATTTAGGCGAGAATTACCCTTCACTAAGTCGGCTCATCTCACCAACCCTTGGAATGAACATAAGCCAGTAAAGATTGGACGTGATGGACAGGTTTGTTGTTTTAATTGATTCTTTAAAAAAATACATACATTTAATCAGCCCTTTTAGAGATCTTAATTGAAGGACATCTTTTAACCACCTCTGAAAGAATTCATATGAAAGTTTAGGAGAATACATTCTTATTTGGAATTCATAATTACTGTGATTAAGACCCATTAATAAGACCCCCATAATGTTGAAATATAGGTAGTTTTATATGGTACTTTCATGTAATTTAATTGAAGGAAAAATTTTTAAGGAGAATTGACCTGATTTTAAATGATTTTTCATGATACCACTGTTGAACAGGTTCTGTACTTTATATAGTACATATTAGAATTGCTATTTAACATATTTACTGAAGTTCTCTAAGTAGAAATCAGTATATAGTATATAGTATACTCAGGTTTCCAAATCTGCAAGTAAAATTGAAAGTATGTAGTAACTTAAATCAAAATCTTTGACCCTCATAGTTCCCACACATAATTCTAAGCCAGAAGTAATATTGTATTTTCATTGTTCATAAGTAAAGATGTTGGTACTATAATTGAAAATAAGACTTAATTTTAAAAAGCCCATAGGTTAGTCTGCCTTTGTGGTTAACCTAATGTATTTCAGTGCATTTAGCAGGTCTCAATTATCATAGTTTTTGGCACATACGGTAACATCTATTTTTCTTTCTCTGTATTAAGATGGATGACTTTGTCCTGGTATTTTGTTTTTTCGCACAAAGAAGTATAGTTTCAGAGGGTGATTGTCACAGAATTTTAATTTTAAGCAACTGTGTTTGTGTATTTTGCTTTGGAGATCCTACGCTTCTAGTTTTTACCCTATATGTAAATATGTGAAACACTTTTGAAAGGTTTATGTACCTGGAAGTTTTTGAAATCCTGTATGATCATGAACCTTGGGAAGGAAGCCTCCAAATCAGTTTTTGTTCTTATATATCAGGAAAATATTGAAAGGTTCTCCTGTTTTTGTCTTGTAAATTGCTACTTTCCTATTCTAGGAAATTGAACTTGAATGTGGAACCCAGCTTTGTCTTCTGTTTCCCCCCGATGAAAGTATTGACTTGTATCAGGTCATTCATAAAATGCGTCACAAGAGAAGAATGCATTCTCAGCCCAGATCAAGAGGACGTCCATCCCGTCGAGAACCAGTCCGGGATGTGGGAAGGTTAGAAACGTTCTTTGGACTGATAATAGGCACATGTGTCAGAATAACATGATGGAGGAATGTGATTCGTCAAAAGTTTGTTCTGCGGTAAAGAAGAAAGAGAAAATCCTCAAATCAAGCTGCATGGACTAGTTTGTGGCTTCATTGAGGATTTCACATGGTCACCTTGGTCTCAGTCATTTTTCAAGAGGAAAATGGGGATCTTTCCTTATGCAGAAAAAATTATTTGCTAAAGAGTGATAACCAGTTTAAATTAGATAGTACTCTGATAATACAATGTATACAATTGAAATGAGGTAGGCATTTGTTACTAAGAACAGGCTAGAAAGGAAGAGGAGGAAGTCTTTATTTGCAAAAATTGTTAATATTTTGTAAAAAGCCTTTTCTTTCAGGTGTGTCTCTGGATAAGCCTTATCAGATATGGGACTTTTATAAAGGATCACTAATATTTTTTCAGAAGATGACGCCCCATTTAGAGGATAAAATGTTTTAAGTTATTTTGATATTCAAGAGGAGCATTATTGGGACTGTTTCAGATTTTATCACCGTGATGTGTTAATCCTATTGCCAGCTATTCTCTAACATGTACCCAGTGAATTCACACATCTTGCTGAGCTTCTGAAAACAATAGGTTCTTTCCAAAGGGGATGAAGTGGCCCTGGGCGACCCGGCAACAAACCAAAAAGAAGGGCTGTTGCTGTGTCTGTTTACAACTTTTCCAGATGCTGGCAGTACCTGTGGACTTAAAGTGTTTTTTAGAGGATCGCCATGGTTATTGATCACTGCTTTATGAACTAAACAGCATTTTCCATGAAAAGGGGGTTTAACTTGTTACAGAATTGGAGAAGTCTTTGCAAAGGACTGATTTAAGCCCTTCTACCCAACACCTTCCCCCGTATAGATTTGCGTACAGCTAAATCTAAAATATTCTGCTAAAGACTGTTGGATGTATGGTTGATGGGATGAAACCTTTGGTTAACAAAGTTTCCTTTTGGTGGAAACATCCTGTGGTAGGTACAGATAATACAACAAGAGTCCCCATTTCTTTGAGCTTAAAAAGGACACTGTCGAGTAGGTAGGAGGAAACCTGGCAGAGCCCCTTATTTTTGGCCTAAAAGGACTGAGCACCGAGATGTCTTTCTTTGAAGTTTTAAGCTAAGAGGTTTCCAGTGCAATACAGTATACACAAGTGAAGTTTTACCTCAGTTTTGCAATGGACTGCAAACTATACTTATAACACCACTACACCTTCTCTCAAGCCTGCCAGGGCCTCCATTTATGTATGTGGCTTACAGCTTAAAGTCAGTAGTTGGACTACTATATGAACTGTTACTATCATGTTTTATACCGGTCGTAAATGCACTCCCCAAACTACAAGAAAGCGGTATGTTTATTTTTTAAACCAGCTTTTAATTTTCTTAGTATTATTTATTGTAGATGCAATTGTTTTTATTCTGTTGGGGGGATTGGGGTTATTGCACTTTATATTGCAGTTTAAGTGAACGTGTCTTACAAAAGTTAATGAAAGCAGTTGTTATTTAGAGAAATAGCTGAAAAAGTAGTGATGTCAGGTTGTAATCGAGTTTTTATTTGACATTAAGGGTAAAAAGATAAATTTATTTTCTAAGTAGTTTGGATCTTTTGTTTTTATTTTAATTCTCTATTATCTACTAAGAAAATTGAGATGTATTTAATGATGTGTTACATTAACCCTTAAGATTTCTGGAAGACAGTAAAGAGCAGCCCTCTGTAGAGAGTAAAATTTCACCTTCTAAAGAATACACTTTAAACTAATTATATGAACTTTGTTAAAACTCTGACCTGTTACTTGCCAATTTATAAAAGCTAGTTTTATTTTGAGGCATTGTCTCTGGCAAAAATTTCCCTAGTTCCTGTTATTAAGTATAGGAAGAAAAACTAAATGTTATTAAGAAATACTAAGAAATTAGTGTTTCCAAGTATTAAGATTTTTAAAACTTTCTTGTAAAGTCGCTTTTAATAAGTATTGAATTTTCTGTATTATCATCTGAAAAGTATAATTTTGTACAAAGCAGGGGAAAAATATTCAAGAAATTCTTAATTTTGTTTCGACATACTTAAAATGTCATTAGTAAGTTTAAATATATAGATTTTAGAGTTCTTGTTGTACAATGATGGTAGAGGGGTTTTTTTCCCCCTTTCTTTTTCACCTGGAGACTTTATTTGAGAAAGTGTATTAATTGTTAAACTGGATATTTAGTTTGAGGATGGCTCATTTACTTTTGTTTAAACTGCTAAAGTGTGATTTCCATGTTTTGATCAGATAACTTTTCCTAGTTGTCTCATGATAGCATGAGATTGCAGAGAATATCTACTTTTAGCAATTAAAGGTTTGGTTCATAGGGATTAATTTGAGGATTTAGAAATTAGGAATTTTAAGACAATTTGCTCATCAAAAATTAAGATGTTAATTTAAAGGAAATAATAATTCTTTGTAATTATTTCTGTCAGAAACTACTCTTGCTTTACTGTTTATTCTCCCAGCAGTTTTTGGTTTAATTTCTAATGTGTCTAATTTGTGTAGGCGTCGACCAGAAGATTATGATATTCATAACAGCAGAAAGAAACCAAGGATTGACTATCCCCCTGAGTTTCACCAGAGACCAGGTTAATATTTTATAATCCTGCAGATATTTGACTTAAAACTATTAAAAAAAAAACAAAAACAAAACAACTTAGTGTAATCCTGTAGTTGTAAAAGTGAGAAAAATTCAGGACATGACTCCTTAAACCTTGGGAAATCATTAATAGTTCTCATTAGTAATTCTTCCCCCACTTTGTTATAGTTGTCTAATCTATTCCGCTGTGACTCATCATAATCTATTAAAATTACCTGAAATTGCTAATTTTGCAAAAATGGAATCTGCTCTGTACATGTGTTTAAATTTAAATGTAGTTAGGTAAAGCAATGACCGTTATACTTTTTTCCCCTGTGATACTTAGTGTTTCATGTGGTATATATCTGTAGTTGGAAAGTGAAATTATGCTATTTTTTAAAAATGAAAATTGTTAACTTCATGGTTTTGGAGAGGAATGGGAAATATTTGATTTGTAAGCTAAATATAGCTTTTCAGTTTATCTATCCCTTACTGGAATTTAAAAAAGCAAACTACATCCAAGAAATAATACCATATATTTAGAACAGAGTCAGTGACACACTGGTAAAACTTGCAGTTTGGAAATTGGTGTTAGTGGGCATTATAGCACCATTGTGTAACAAGTGGCTTGATAAGTCTAATTCACTTCCAAAATGGGAGATACTGTTGCAGAAAGTGAAAATAGTTTTTCCTCAGTAACATGGCCACTCAAATGTTTTTATGTTTTAATTTGCTGGGTCCTAACTAATGGAAGAGGAGGAAAGAGCATTTTTTTCTATTTGCATGCTTCTTTGATTGGAAAATGTATACATCTTCATTTTTGCAACTTTTGCAATTTTGTTTCCTTCCCTCTTAAGTTTGCATTTTTAAAAACTTATGTATGGTTTACCTAGCAAGGCCTGTATATACCTAAGGGTGGAAGGTAAACATTTGTTTTAAGGAAGTCCTACTATAATATCCTCAAGATAGTTCCTCTGCCCTCACGTTCCCTGTGGTGCATAATGAAGAAATTTCCTATTTAGCAAGATTTGGAACGTGAACTTAGAAGATACATATGAAAGCTTCTCTAGCAGTTTACAATTCTGTGATATCATTAAGTTATTTAGTTATTTCCTCGATTATCATGTCATTTGAGAAGAAAATTTGAAAATGGAATAATACAATAATAGCATCACTAAAAGTACATATTTCATGGAAAGAATTGAAACAAGTGGTAAGGAAAGTTTAATTTATAATGCCATAATAAAAAAATATAAATTTGATTTACTGAAATACTTGATGTTTGAACAGGGTATTTAAAGGATCCACGATACCAAGAAGTAGATAGGTAAGTCGGGTTCACTCTTGCTTAGCTTTGAATTACATTCTTGGAACTAGTTTATGAATTACCTGAATTTAGTTTCACAAATCTTATTCCCAACAGACGATTTTCAGGAGTTCGCCGAGATGTGTTTTTAAATGGGGTAAGCATTTAATTTTATATATTTAATGTAGATAAAATCAGGATCTGATTTATTTTATAGTTCTGGGATGCTTTTGATTTATATTGACGTTATCATCTTTCATTTTAGTCCTACAATGATTATGTGAGGGAATTTCATAACATGGGACCACCACCACCTTGGCAAGGAATGGTTTGTATTATTCTATTTTTGCAAGTTATTTAACTTCATTTGCAGTTCCTGATATTTTGGGGTACTTATAATATTCATTAAGAGACTTAAAATACAAGTTTTTGGTGATTGATAATTGCATACTGTCTTTAAAGACTAATGAATAAATTAATTTGTGTTAATAATACAGTACTGACTTAATTGAGAAGTATAATAGTGTATTATAGCAATGGTGAGTAGTGCAAGCTGTACCTGGGTTCAGATACATTCCTTTCTCTTCCCAACTCTATGACCTTGGGTAAGTTTCACAATGCAACTCTTAGTTTTCCTCATCTATAAAATTCAGCGGCCATTCATTGCTTTTTATGGCTAATCAAATACGATATTGAGTATGTTCCCTGTGCGAGGCACTGTGCTTGTTCTGGGTATACAGTAGTGAATGAAATGGACGTTACACCTTTCCTTGTATAGCTCAGAATTTAATATAATAGTGTCAGTCTCATAGGATTGTCAAGGAGACAAATTTATAAAATGCATGTAAAGTATAGCATAGTACCTGATATAATATTTAGTAAATTTAGTTCTCTATGTAAAATAAGACTAAACACTGAGCAGTCTTGGTTTTTAAATTATTTCCTTTAAGAAAGTTGGATATCCTTTTTAGAGTATGTTTTAGATTCTATGAAATTTAGGTTCTATGAAATATTTAATGTATGATCTTACCTGTAACTATGAAAGTAATTTTTGATTTTCCCTTTCTTCATTTTATAACAGTATTTAAAAGATCATTAGCTCCTGGATTTTTTTTTTAATAATAGATTTGTACATAGTGGTTAACCAGCTCACCAGTTCTAGAACCAGGATGCCTGATGTGTACCTGCTTTATCCCTTTAATAGCAGCGTGACTGTAAGCAGGTTACTTAACCTCTTGGTAACTCAGTTTTCCCTTTTGTAAACTAAGAATATAATAGCACCTATCTCATAGGGTTGCTGTGAAAATTAAATGAAACTAAATTAAATTAAATTAAATGTAAGTAAAATACTTACAATAGTGCCTGGCTCATAGTAAGCATTATGTAAGTGTTTGCTATTTCTATTAATATCTAGATGATATGAGTAGAAAAGTATAAACATGTTAAATTTTAGAAGATGTGTAATCAGAGAGTTTGTTGCACACATTTGTTTTCAACAAACAAAAAGGATATTTTGAAGAATCTTAATGCCATCAAAGTAAATTGCTAGTACAGATTATTTTTGGGGGGTTGGTGGTTTGGGTAGGGGAATTCTAAGAATGCTTTCTTTACAAGAATATTTGGTAGATTCTTATGAAAGTGGTTTTCCTTTTTTAGCCGCCTTATCCAGGAATGGAACAGCCTCCACACCATCCTTACTATCAGCATCATGCTCCACCTCCTCAAGCTCATCCCCCTTACTCAGGACATCATCCAGTACCACATGAAGCAAGATACAGAGATAAACGAGTAGTAAGTTAAAAAGAAGGCAAAGGTGTGAGGAAAGTACTTAGAATTCTATAGGTATTCGGTCATTAAATATGAAATGTCCGATTTCGAATAAAAATGTAGTTGATTATATCTCAGACAAGATGCATTATGCTTAAATCAAAGTATACACCTAAACTCTTGACACAGTTCTGCCTTCTTAACAGTAGCTTGTTCATGTAAGCAGGGAAGAAGCCTGAAGAGAACGAGTAGCTATGAAATCATGAAAGGCATTTTCCACAGCTTTTGAGAATTGATATTTTTCCCTGGAAGAAGCCGTAGTCAGTTGGTGCAAGGTCTGGTGAACACGGTGGGTGACAGAGTCTCCAAGTTCTAGCTTCTGTAGTTTGAGCAGCATTGTTTGTACGACGTGGTCAAGTGTTGTCTTGCAAGAGAATTGGCCTGTCTCAATTGACCAATCTCAGCTGCTTAATCACAAGCATCTTCATCATTTCATCAAATTGGTTGCAGTAGACATCCGCTATAATGGACTGACCAGATTTAACGAAGCTGTAGCGGATAATGCCGGCGCTGGACCACCGAACAGACACCATTAGCCTTTTTTGATGAGTATTCAGTTTGGGACCATGATTTGACACATCATCTTTATCCAGCCATTGTGCCAAACGCTTCGATTGTCAAAAAGAATCCATTTTTCATCACATGAAACAATACGGTGCAAAAATAGTTTGCTTTTATGTCATGACAGCAAAGAAAGGCAAGCTTCAAGATGGTTTCTCTTTTGATACTTGTTTCATTTACGTGGGACCCATCTATCCAGCTTCTTTACCTTGTAGATTTGTTTCAAATGGTCCAACGTTGTTGGAACAGTAACATCAAACCTTGCTGCTAATTCACACGTAGGTCTAGATGGATGTGTGTCCACTACAGCTTTCAGCTCATTATCATCCACCTTAGTCTCAGGTCACCCACGTGGCTCATTTTCAAGATTAAAATCACCAGAACAGAACTTCTCAAACCATCAACATGCTGTGCATTCATTAGCCACATCCTTCCCAAAGAATTATTGATACTTCAAGCTATCTGTACCACATTGATTCCGTGACAGAACTCATTTCGAAAATAACATGAACTTTTGACTTATTCATGGTTTCACAAAAATTGCTTAAAAAAAAAAAAACGTTGAAAGATAATCACAAGCCAAAACGTGCATTTGCAAGACTGACGATGTATTTTCACGATAAAAATAAAACAAGAAATGTCGAAGTGAAATGTCAGAAATACCAACTGTCAAACTTAGTACTTAAGGAAATCAGACATTTCATACTTAAAAGCCTAATAATTAAAATATGAGGATACCAGATTATGTGAAATGATGGACCATTGTGTATTCTTACTGCAGACTGTTTTGGAATAGATCTCAACTTGTTTTTACTAAAAATGGCTGATCATGTTCCCCCCGCCAGCTTTGGGTTATTTAGATAGATGATGTATCTTTTACTGTCAAATCAAAGTACTGTGGCAAACTCCTACATATATAACTCCTCTTAGATAATATCCTAGGCATATAATACTTAGGATATGTTCTTTCTGTACTGAGATCTTAATTATAAAACTATGTAATTAATACTGTTAATAGGTATTTCTGAGCTTTTTGTATAATCTGGTAGACTTAATTTTTGTTAGGTAGATGGTGTATATTAAGTTAGTTAATAGATAGTTTCCAATCCTATTTGGTCATTTATTTTTGTTTCTACTGAAGGTTATTAAAACTAGTAACCGAGCAAATTGTTTCACTTCTCCTTTACCTCTGGTTATTGTGATGATGCTAGCAAACAACTAGATGTTAAAAAAATGCAGTGGAAGAATAATTGCCCTTTAGTAATTGGCTCTGTTAATTATTTGCTATGATAGA